AGCTATTTAAAAATCTCACATTGGTACCATCTTTGAGTTTTGTCAAATCTGCAGTGAAAGTGTTCTTAAAACAAATATATGCTGGGTCATCATCCGAGACTGCCATAACATGAAATATATGGCAGAATGTGGGTAAAACAGAAGAGTTCTCCCCCAAGCTGTTCAGTCACAAATTAAATTAACGCATTATTTTTTTAACAAGCATCATCAGCATGGAAGCATGTCTTCTGGAATGGTGTCCGAAGCATGAAGGGACATACAAATGTTTAGTATATCTGGCACATAAATACCTCGCAATGCCGGCTACACAAGTGCCATGCGAACGCCTGTTCTCACTTTCAGGTGACATTGTAAATAAGAAGCAGGGAGCAGTATCTCCCATAAATGGAAACTAACTTGTTTGTCTTAGCGATTGGCTGAACAAGAAGTAGGACTGAGTGGACTTGCAGGCTCTAAAGTTTTCCATTGTTTTGTTTTTGAGTGCAGTTATGTAACAAAAAAAAAATCTACATTTGTAAGTTACACTTTCACAATAAAGAGATTGCACTACAGTACTTCTATGAGGTGAATTGAAAAATACTATTTCTTTTGTTTATCATTTTTACAGTGCAAATATTTGTAATCAAAAATATAATATAAAGTGGGCACAATATTCTGTATTGTAATAGAAATCAATATATTTGAAAATTTAGAAAAGCATCCAAAAATAATTTAATACATTTCAATTGGTATTCTACTGTTTAACAATGCGATTAATTGCGATGAATTTTTTTGAGTTAATCACGTGAGTTAACTGCGATTAATCAACAGCCCTACTTGTAACACATTTTACATCGGGTCATAAATCTGAAATTCCTCCCATTCCTTTATTAAGAGCAACAAACATGGAGCCAGAAACATACCAGGCTCTGGGGCTACTTATGTCTCTTCTGTTTCTGCTGCCAGTTCTGCAGCAGGCTCCGCCCTTGGGGGGGATCATCAGACAGCTCCTTTGAGCATGGACCCAGCATGTGCTGCAGCTACTCCAGTGGCAGAACCTCTTTGGAAACCAGTGTGAGCACAAGTCACTTCACTAGCTGGATCTGGTGCCTGCTGGTTCCTCTCTAGTATAGGAGTAATTCAGGGGTCAGAAGGTCACCATCCCGGCTGACCAGGCTGTCGTGAACTGCTGTTGGCTCAGTGCTTGGTGCAATATCCAACACCCCGTCAAACTTCTCATAAAAGAGGCAGGATGTTGGGGAGTTCCCAAAGGTGTGGTTTTCAACCCTGGCTTTCCAATAGTCTTGAGCTGCTTAATCCACTCCCAGCACTGGTCACCAGTCTGGTGAATCCCCCACGCTGCCAATTCATCTGCAGTTTTGTAGTGAAGAGAAACTTCTTGCTTGCCTCACACCAGAGATTAACCAATATCTGACTGTGGTCCTGTCACCAGGGAACAACGTGTTTGGCAATGGACTTCTTATTGGTGGCCATAGCTAGTGCAGGAGACGGTTCACTCTGTTTGCAGCTCAGCAGTCAGAATACAATGTAAAACACTGAGCAGCTGTACTTGAACGTGGGGGGTTGCTTCCATTTCCTGGGAGTCAACTGGCTAGTTTTGAGATAGAAAAAACAAGGAACACTGGCCCATGGGACTGTGTGATAGAATTGGCAGACTATCAGGACATGAGTCTGGGGGACCGAGGCCCAAGCTGCATCCACAATACAAAATGATGCACTGTGGACTAGTGGGACTTGGGTTTGGATGAACCCCTCTTGCTGGATCCTAGGGTCTAAGTCCAGGGGCTTACTGGCCTTAGTCAGCTTTGTGTGTAGACAGAAGTGGGGTTAGAGCTCAAGCCTGAGTCTGAGCCCAGGCTTGCATTGCACTGTAGATATACCCTCAGTGTTATGTCCTCTACAGCACTGAGTACCAAGTATTTAATAAGGGGAAGTGCCATGGTATCCTCTCTTAATATCTCAGCCAGTAGAGTTTGCTGAATGCAAAGATGGCAGCAGAAAGGTGCTTTGCAATAGGCTGTTCAGGTTACTACCTCTCAGCTCAAAGAGGGAATCACTGACTTCTTTTTACCTCCTAGGATGGCAAAATCCTAAGGGAAAAAAATCTAGTCCCAAATGAATGTCTGCACATACACTTTCAGAACTGCCACCCCAGACACATACACCCACCAAAACCCCCTGCAACTCCTCCTCCCCCTGCCTGGGAAAAAACCAAACCAAAAAACTCCACACTGCTCACCACGGACCTACAAAATTTTGCAAGACTAAGGTGCATATGTGTATTAGATATTAATCATAAGTTCTTTAAAAGACAGATGCTTGTAATCGCAAATTCTAGCAACAATTCTACTTTGAATAAAGGGGACAATTTAATCTGTCCAGTTTTAGACTGATATTTCAGATAGAGAAATGTAACTACTAAACTATGAGCGTAGCAGAGGAACAAACAGCAACTGGTGTCAGTATTATATAATATGCTGCATCATATATAATCTTAGTGGCCTGTGAAGGAGCCCTAAAAATAAAGGATAGGTGTATTCCGTCCATCACATATGTGCAGTCTGCATATTTCTGTCCTTGCCCAACACATTGGCATTCATGATCATTTTAAAATGATTCTAGCACACAACTGCTGTGTGGTTATAGTATAAACTTGTAACACCAAATAAAATAAATCAGAACTTAATTCAAACCAAATGGACATAGCAAATATGGTTGGATATATTTGCTGATCTTCTATAACAATGTAATTGAATCATAGAGGATAAAAGCTATTAGGACCAAATGGATTAGTAGGTCATCTAACCCATTCCTCTTCCACTGTAGATTGTTCCCCACACTTCATTTTCTAGGACTTTGTCCAATCTAATTTTAATATAATCTTTCATATTTTTATGATAAACCTGACTCTCTTAATCACTATCTATGATTTATGTATAATAGAGAATAAAGGGAATAAACCATTTTAAAGTTTATAGCTCTAGTGAAGACTCTACATTGGAAATTAGGAATTTAACTTACTGTATGTAGGATTCAAATGCCATTAAAGATGAATGCTTTAAAAAGGATGGACTTCCAGTGCAGTTTTCATGAAGTCCTTACTTGCTGTAAAATCATTTTCCTTATGAAAAAATGTTTCATCCTACCATATTTTATTTTCAGAATTAGTAAACATCATACTTCTATGTTCAAGGTGTATTTTCACCAAAGTGCTTGAGTCTACTAAATTACTGATTTTGAAACTGGCTAAGAGAACCAAAATGTAAACATAAGTTATTACAAATGTGCATACTTAGTTACTGAATCAGAGCACACAAAAAAATCTCTTTCACTAGTTACCTAGTTACCATCTTAAACACTAATACAATAGAACTGCCTTTGTGTGCATATTGAATGTTGTGCAGGATGTGTTTAATTAAATCACTATTTTAAAAAGTATCTGAAACTACATGTTGATAAAAAGGTTTTCCTTAATAAAAAATGTAATGGAGGTCAATTGACTGATAATATGAATTTATTGGTACCGAAGACAAGGCACTGTGCTAATTCAAGAATGACAATTAAAGAAAACAAAAGACTCACTTCTGTTACTATGCTTTCTAGGACTGAACAACTCATCTAACATAATAAGGCAACAGGACTGCCAAGAATATAGTGTAAGGAACAGAATGCATTAGCAATCTTTGCCTCCCACCCGTTGAAAAATAAAGAGATAGTACTGAAAAAAATTACTGTTAGTTAAATAATGTAACTACACCTGTAAAAGTGAGTATTAAATCAGCCCATATAATGCTCTATTGTACTCTTCAAAGAGGAGAACTGAACTGCTTTAGCCACAACTGACTTGGCTATACTGCAAGACAATGCAAAAGACCTTTGCTAGCAGTTTGTGAAGTCTTCTTGGTGACCTAAGGAGACAAAACCCTGATTTACACGACAAACTTATGTCAGTATTACTGCAGCACTCAGGAGTGTGGAAAATCCACACCCCGAGCGATGTAGTTATACCGACCTAGCCTCCAGTGTTGACAGTGCTATGTCAACAGGAAGGCTTCTCCTATTGATATAGCTACTACCTCTTGGGGAGGTTAAGTACCTCTGCCAACAGGAGAAGCTGTTCCATCGCTGTAGGCAGTCTTCACTAAGTGCTACAGCAAAGCTGTAAGTGTAGACAAGCCCTCAGTAAATCATAAAGGGACAGCTAGTTCCTGGAAATTTTTTGTTTGTTTTACAGCTCTCCCTTCTAGCCCACACTAACTAATAGCCAGACACCTGCATTTGTTTAGAGGAAAGAAGATTTCACTTTGAGGGGTGTTGCTAAAGAGAACAGCACAAAAACGTATCCCAACAGGGCAAGAATTTGATAAATGTTAAGAAACAAAAACAAAAGAAGTTGCTTGAGTAGTTTGCTACAATGTTTTTATGTAATAGCACCACACTAGTGTGTGAAAAAGCAGTTTCAGCAGCACATACTAGCAGATGGTGTCACAAACCGCAAGTGATGACAAATCAAGTGAAGAAAGCATTGTTCCAACAAACAACAAAACAAAAAACAAAACCACCACAAACACACCTAGCTGCTCCACAACAGTTATATGGGAGAAAACAAATCTCTCAGGTTGGCATCTCTTTCATATTCTGATCTTTCCACATGCTCTAATTTCCCCCATCTCCCACAGACATCACTGGAAGTTCTATGCTTGAAGAGAAAGCAGAATATCTGCCAAGGACTATGTGGATCCAAAAACAGAATGTTGTCCCTGATGATGTTAGCTGCTTCTGTGACCCAGTCTATAGGTCTTCTCAACAGTTTTGAAGAGAATAAAGGAAACTATTCTCTGTTGGGTCCACTGATAAGTCTTCTTGCTTACAAGATGGGCTTTCTTTGGCCAGCACCTCAAATTTCCAGCCATATGAATAACAAGAAAAATATGACAAATACATATTTATATAAGCATTTGAGCACAGTATGAGCATTTTCATACTAAGAAGACGGCTCTGGAGGGGAGAGGGTTACTGTGACATAGCCACATATACAAAAGTATTTAGTCTCCTATACTTAAGTTGTTTACACCCTAGAAGTCTCTTGGTTAAATAATAATAATACATTTAGAAGCAGAGTTGCAATACTTTTCAAAAGTAGTAGCAGCAGCAGCCTTCACAGGGAGAGAGCACTATAATAAGAATGAGTTTGTTTCCACACACTGTTTACCATGTTAACTTGTGACAGAATTCTGATCAGATTTAACAGTAATACTACTAGAAGTACATTAGCACAGCAGCACAGTCATCCCTCCACATAAAAGATTTTTTAAAAGATAAAACAATACATTATACCAGTATCTGTAAAACTGTTTCATAAATCCCCCAAAAGATTGTGTCCATGCATATAAGGCAGCAGAAAGTCAGTCAAATATTTCATAGCATCAAAGCTAAATTCTTAGCCTTTGTTGCAAAAAAATAAGTTGTCAAGGATGAAATCTTGATTGTTAACACCAAATACTAATAAGAGAAAGCACAGAAACATGGCAGGAAATTTGCCATATCTGCATAACTTACAACAAAAGATCCTAACATTCACAGGCTTTAAAAAACACATTGAGAAACCTGAGTGAAAATATTTTAGGAACATATTGATAGAAGACCACCAACTAATCAGTCTGTTCCTTTTTAAGTTCATTTGTCAGTTAAGTGCTTAGAACACACAGCTAGACTCATTTGTATGAACCTATACATACGGTATGTCATATGCCATTGTTTCCCATTCCATAGAGTGGGATTGTCTTTAAATGAAGTGACCCTGGGCATGCAGGCAGTGTGGCAAGAGAAAGGTTAAGATCAATAAAGAGGCAATACCTTGTTTCCTTAGAGGAGCATTTTGTGGCAAAAGTGTGCATTGTTTCAATGAACCCAAATGATCTTTATAGAGAAGTTCAGTTTTACATATATGATTTCTAGTCAGATTTTCCATTCTTACGTATTTTGACTTCCTTTTGTCCAATGAGACAAATAACTTTGTAGCATCCCTTTGTAATTTTGACCATCCACATCAAGTTCATCACATCCAAGACAACACTTGAGATAATCCAGGCGCTTTGGGCTGCAACTCCTACTCTGTGGAAAGCCTCTGTTCCAAACACAGAAATGACGTCGGCATAATAAACAGGCATGACTACAATCCTCACCATGAAGAACACAATCGTCATCAGCACCCCATTGATGATGTTGGCTTTTGAAGATTTGGGGTACCCCAGCACTTCAAAGAACCACCTGCAAGAGAGAAGTGTTCACAAAACCAAACAAGTTTCAGATTTTTCAAATCCCTTCTTATGACCAGTCACTATTCATCAATTTATCCCCAAGCCCTCCCAATCTAAAATTCTGCCTTGTATTATCGCTTCATCTAAAATCTCTCTAGGCCTGTTAATTATCTTGGTGCAAAGCATTGTGTAATCTCCATTACTACATAAAAAAGTTTCATAACAATATTTTAAGGAACAGCATGTACAATAATCTCCTAATTTGAATTGTAAACTAATAAGTGTACATGTTAGTTGCTATTACTGTAGTGTAGAGGAGTGGTTTTCAGCCTTTTTTCATTTGTGGACCCCTAAAAAATGTCAAATGGAGGCTTTGGAAATCTTAGACAATCTGTGGACGCCCAGGGGTCTGCGGACCACAGGCTGAAAACCACTGCTGTAGAGCATAGATAATTTGTTTTGTAAATTAATTTTAAAATAACTACTGTGAAATAATTTATTTTTCGTTCTTTGAACATTTTAATTTGCACTCCCCGATGAGAAACTGCTATTCAATTTTTTTTTAGAAGTGAAACTGAGCTGAGAAATGTAGCTCCAAACTTCCTCAAAATTATAGATTAAGGCCCCTACCAAATTCACAGTCAATTGGTCAATTTCATGGTCATGGGATTTTAAAAATTGTAAATTTCATTATTTCAGATATTTAAATCTGAAATTTCACAATGTTGTAACTGTAGGGATCCTGACCTAAAAGAGAGCTTTAGAGCAGGGGTCGCAAGGTTATTGTAGGAGAGTTGCAGTATTGCCACCATTACTTCTGTGCTGCTGGTGGTGGCGGCGATGCCTTCAGAGCTGGTCAGCTGGAGAGTGATGACTGCTGGCCAGGAGCCAGCTCTGAAGGCAGCGCTGCCACCAGTAGCAGCATAGAAGTAAGCATGGCATGGTATGGTATTGCCACCCTTACTTCTGTGCTGCTGCCTTCAGAGCTGGGTCCTCGGCCAGCAGCCTCTACACTCCAGCCACCCAGTTCTCAAGGCAGCACCACAGAAGTAAGGGTGGCAATACTACGACTCCCCCCTACAATAACCTTGCAACCACCCTGCACCCCCTTTTGGATCTGGACCCCCAGTTTGAAAAACGCTGGTCTCCCCTGTGAAATCTGTATAGTATAGGGTAAAAGAACACAAAAGACCAGATTTCACAGGGCAGACCAGATTGCATGGTCCGTGACAAGTTTTTCATGGCCGTAAATTTGGTAGGGCCTAATTTTAGGGAAAGAAAGAAGTTTGGAATTGGTGTTGTAGGTAGGACCCCCATCTGTTATTTCACATTTGCTGGATTTGGGCTTTTGTGATTGGTGCCTTGTTACTGTCCTAATAAGATCCTTAGAGATCAGTCTGGTCCCAAGCCAAAACCTCAGCTCTAAACATTACAAGTTGCATTGCATTATTATGTTAATGCTTAGCTGTATGAAAAAAGTCAGTGTGCAGGAGTAATTTTGAGTAGGTTTTCTATATTTTGAGGCCCTACTAGAGAGGTGTAACTATTACATATAGTCTATTGCCTGGCAAGTAGAACCTGTGGGTTGGTTTCTTAAGGAAGTATTTGCATTACTGTATGTTCCTCTCTTTCCCTTCATTCACCCAATAAAATCACCCCATTGAAGATTTGTATAGCAGTGACAGGTCAGAGAAAGGACAGAGAGGACCAAACCATAGAAAACAGCTTAACTGCTGAACCTCTGAAGGCATAATCAGCTAAAACTATTGACCATTAAGCAACAGGTGTAATGATTGTTAGAACTTTCCCTTTGTAAAACTAATAGTATGGCCTGTTACAAATTTATTACTAAGGGGCACAGCCATATTGACAGATACTTGTGATATGACTGAACATTATAGATCCCTAGTAAGATAATCAAAGTCAAATATTTTCTTAGATATGCATCAAGATGATGATTAGGTACTGTGCTGTGCCAGCATATTAATTTATAAATGCTTTTTAAATAAATGAAAAAATGGTAATAGAACAACTGCTCACAACCAAAGTCAGAACGACAATTTATGGTTTGCCCGTCACTGACTAAATCAATGCTGAAATTAAAGTTGCCTTGTATATGGACATGCCCAAATCAGAAACCAGTATAGAATCACAGAATAGCAGGGTTGGAAGGGACCTCAGGAGGTCATCTAGTCCAACCCCTGCTCAAAGCAGGACCAATCCCCAGACAGATTTTTACCCCAGTTCCCTACATGGCCCCCTCAAGGATTGAGCTCATAACCCTGGGTTTAGCAGGCTAATGCTCAAACCACTGAGCTATCCCTCCCGTCAAAGAACAAAAAGGAGGTGCAAGATAATGATTTAAGAAAAAGTAAAACCTCTATTTACTGTTATAACAATTATGCAGTTTATTTGTAATTTTTTAAAAAGTGAATGTAATGCTTGTGAAAGTGCTGGATTATTAGACAGTGCTGGAGAACTAACTATAGAACAGATATAGCACAGACAGCGTCAGGGCAGTTCATACTGCCCTCAATATTCTACTTATGTGCTTAAAGCTGAGAAGAGTGACCATCACTAGGGAAGAGGGAGGTTCAATCTCTAGGTCCATTCAGATCTTTGTCTTTATGCCGACATGGCCAACAAGGAAGCAAATTGTGATAGTGTTTTTTGTGAAGTGAGCAGAGTAGTGCTCTGCTAGACTGTGGTTTAAACCTTTAAATTTTAGGCAGACAATTCAATTCTATAGATCAGCTATTTCAAACAATGTAGGTTCTGTCAGATGGGTTAAAAAAAAAGCATACATCTTTCAAAGAGCAGAAATCTGCTCTATAAGAGCAAGACTTTGGTGTCCTGTACTATACATTTTTTTTTTTTTGCATTAAGTTAGTCATTAGGAATACTGAACAAACTCTTTTCAGTAGTATTCATATTTACAGATCTCCAGAAATAGTTTCATTTGAGTCATAAAATTACTTTCTCAAAATACAAATTATAGAGGTATATTATACCAATATTTTTCTAATTGCAAGATGGAGATGAGAGGAGGCAAGACTGACACTAAAATCCAGAACAATGGTCTGATTTTTCTTCTATAGTTTTATCGTTCTAAATTTTATCTTTAAATTTTCTTCTAAAAATTGAAATTATTGTAAATAAAGAGGATGAAAATATTTCACTTGCCAAGTACGTTATTTCATAACATTACATGCTACCATTAATTGGGCTACAAGATTATTAGTTACAGTTTTCCTTTAGGGTTGTATTATCTATACATTCAACTCTGGCACTTTCAAACTGACAAGCTAAACAAAACAAATTTCTTATGTTCTTTTAAAATTAAAATAAGGATATGGTAAGGTACAAATAGTTTAAAGAGACTTTCATATGTTACAAAGAGAATTCTCAGTTGAATTAAGTTGACCTGTGTTTTATATACCTTCTGGTGAGAATTTAAGCCAAATCATGAGAGTGATAATTGAGTTGTTTATATAAGTCAATGGAATTCTGAGATTAAAATGCGATTGTATATTATAACTGCAGCTTGGTGTTATTTTTGTTAATACTATAGTAGAGTACAAACAACAAAAAGACATATAATATAAACTAATCTTTCTGAACAATTTACATTACTTACTGTCTCCGAGGTCTGGTTCTCCTCAAATTTAATTAAAGTTATATATATGAATTTATGGAACAATAACTCCCTTAATGTAATAGACTTTATCACCATCTTCTGCAGAGATTCCTGTTTGTCTGATAAAATAATAATTCTGGGTATTTGAGGACACTTGGCCTCAGTCAAGGAACTTTTAAAGAAACATTTAAAGTAAATTATCTATCTTTAATGATATGATATGTTGTGATGCTTCATATCACAACCTAAAAAAAAGTATTGGTACAGATACCACTGAAAGATCGGGGTGAAATCCTAGCCCCGTTGAAGTTAATGTGAGTTTTCCCATTGACTTCAATGGGGGTAGAATTTCATCCCAGGGAGGTAATAATACCTGTTTATATAACCTTGATAAGACCACAACTGGATCTTTTTCCTCTGGACTCCTCAGTACAGAAGTAATATTGATAGATTAAAGCAGGAATCACCACCTAGCAGTTTCTGAACAAATCAAAAGTAGCCTTTATAATCTTACCCCTTCTCCCTAACTTAAAAGCTGAACTTGCCAACCCAATGTTTGAGGCAGACCCTGACATGGCACCTTCTCATAGAACTACTAGAGACTATGCAGCATACTATACTCTACTGCAGGGGTTCTCAAACTTCATTGCACCGCAACCCTCTTCTGACAACAAAAAATTACTACACAACACCAGGAGGGGGGACTGAAGCCAGAGCCCAGCTGAGTCCCACTGCCCCAGGGGGGCGAGACAAAGACAAAGCCTGAGCCCCACCGCCCCGGGTTAGGAAGGGGTCAAAGCCGAAGCCCAAAAGCTTCAGCCCCTGCCAGGGGGCCTGTAACCTGAGGCCCTCGCCCCTCGCCCCCCGTCCTGAATCCCCAGGGCTTTGGCCCCGAGCCCCTGCAAATCTAAGCCAGCCCTGGCAACCCCATTAAAATGGGATTGTGACCCACTTTGAGGTCCCAACCCACAGTTTAAGAACTGCTGCTCTACTGCATGCCAGAGCACTTGAGGATTGTGAAGGAGAAGCATAGCACAGATGCCTAGCAACAACACAGCTGAAAGCTATTCAGAATATCGAAGTAGAATGAGGCAAGGACTCCTTAACCTCCAATAAAACATCTGCCTTAACCTTTCTGCATCTTTCTTCCTTATGGCTTCCAATATGCTTTATCTCCCCTGACCCAGTCTTCCCTTTTCCCACTCTAACTATGGCTCTTGCAATTGCCACTGAAGACATTTGACCTCTGTATTGCTCATCCCGGAAACATAGCTCAAATTAGAACACAACACTTGGGGAGATTAAAGAAATTGGATACATAAGGCTTGTGAAAGAAGGAACATCAGATCTACTGTATTTCTGAGTACCAAAAGAGTTAGAAGAGAGGGGATGAATTATTCAAGGTGATTAAAAAGAAAGATGATAAGAGTTAGCACCCTGAAATTTGAAGAAACAAGAGTAAATTTGATTTTACCAATACGCATTTTTGCTAGTCTACTGGGTTGTGGAATAATTTAATCAAGGATGGGAAGACATTGCTGGATTTGTTTAAGGGGGAAAAAATGCAGTCTTAAAGACAGCATGCAGGAATTGTTCTGCATTATTTGACTAAGGCCTGGTCCACACTAACCCCCCACTTCGAACTAAGATACGCAACTTCAGCTACGTTAATAACGTAGCTGAAGTCGAAGTACCTTAGTTCGAACTTACCGCGGGTCCAGACGCGGCAGGCAGGCTCCCCCGTCGACTCCGCGTACTCCTCTCGCAGAGCAGGAGTACCGGCGTCGACGGCGAGCACTTCCGGGATCGATCCGCGATTGATTTATCGCGTCTAGACAAGATGCGATAAATCGATCCCAGAAGATCGATTGCTTACCGCCAGACCCGGAGGTAAGTATAGACGTACCCTAAGATAGTTCTGATTTTTCTAAAATTTTCTTAATAGGAAACATGGCTACAGGAGAGACTTCCTTACCTCTTCCTGATGGTTTTTGTGCTCTGAGATCACCCATAATAAATACTAAATATTTATGTAAACTATGCTGTCCCCCATCACTCTCTCCAGAGTTTTCCACCAAGGTGTGTGAGGTAGGTAGCAAGCCCCTTTAGTGATGTAGAACTGGTTACTCCAAACTACTATATCACACTACACTTAAGGAAAGAGTGTGAAAGCTGTTTCGAGGTATTTCTAAGTTTAGCCACAGTATGGCCTTACTTAGATGTTTTAATATTTTATCTATTATAGTTTTTGTGTTTTTTTTCCCATCATTTCTGCAATGTACACAAGTATTTCCATGGGGAAGGAGTGAACTAGATAACCTAGGGTGTCCTTTTTAGGGTTGAGAGTCCATGAATCTTTAAATTACAGGTTTTCACAGCTTTGCAACTTGTAAAGGTATGTCAGACACTCACATGCAGTATATATAAAATATAGACCTCAAGTAATCTAGAACAATGATGAAGGTGTCTAAATATCAGAGAAGTGAAATTCTGGAACAGCCTTCCAAGGGGAGCAGTGGGGGCAAAAAACTTAACTGGCTTCAAGACTGAACTTGCTAAGGGTATGGAGGGGATGGTATGAGACTACCTAAAATGGCATGTAGCTGATGTGCGACTGCTAGCAGCAAATATCTCTAACAGCCACTGATGGGACACTAAATGGGGAGGACTCTGAGTTACTATAGAGAATTCTTTCCCAGGTGTCTGGCTGGTGGGTCTTGCCCACATATTCAGGGTCTAACTGATCACCATTTTTGGGGTCAGGAAAAAATTTGCCCCTGGGGTCAGATTGCCGGAGACCAGGGGGGTATTTTTATTCCTTCCTCTGCAGCATAGGGCACGGGTCACTTGCAGGTTTAAATTAGAGTAAATGGTGGATTCTCTGTAACTTGAAGTCTTTAAATCATGATTTGAGGACTTCAGTAATTCAGCCAGAGGTTATGAGTCTATTACAGGAATGGGTGGGTGAGGTTCTGTGGTCTGCAATGAGCTGGAGGTCAGACTAGATGATCACGATGGTCCCTTCTGGCCTTAAAGTCTATGAATCTATAATACAAGTCCACAATTTCACTCAATGACAAAGCTACCTGGAACCTCTTCTTGTGTTCATGATGCTGTTAGAAACCCATAATGGAAATGAAAACTTGTATTACATACTTTTTTATCTAATAACCTATTTATACCCATCTAACTTATACACTTCTGCATATTCTTTTGTTCAAAAGATTTATGCCAGCTTCATGTTGCATACAGAATACCATTTACAATAAGGAGGAACTCCTCTAGAATGCACTGGAACATAATTCTAGGAGTACAATAGCCCAAAATTTTCATAGCAAGCAAGCTTTTTCCAGCTTATAAATTTGGTTATGTTGAAGTGTGACTACAGAAAATGAATCAAATTTCTATTTGTTATTTACAGTTAAATTCAGTTATCTAACAAGGCAAGACACAAGTTAAAGTAAAATAATTAACAACCACCTACCGCTGATTCACAAAAGGAGTAGAGAACTCTGCAAGCAGACGAAAGTTACCAAAATATGCCAACATTCCTTCACCCTATATAGCAAGATAAATATTAAAAAGAAGAATCAGGGATGTAAACTTTAGTCATAAATTTAATCTGAAGAACGCATTGACCATTTCCATTTTGTTAAAGCTTCCCAGCATTTGTAAAATTGTATAGGATCTCAAATACTTTACCAAAACTGAAAGTGTCAAGTAAATGTAATAAATTTCGTAATCCTCTTTATAAAACTTTAAAGTAAATCATTTATAACATCTAATACTGCTGCCCTTTGAATTTTTTTTAGTGATAAATTAAGAAAGCAGGGAAATATGCAATGTGTCTTGTGACTCCAAGTCATTGACCAAGTATTCAAAATACTTATAGTTATTTGTGGAAGATTAAACAGATGCAGAAAGTTGGCTAACAAATGATGGCACTCCCTAATCAACATAAAAATAGTGATAAGTTATGATAAATTAAAATGGATATATTTTACGGTGACTATCTAAAATCATTCAAGAATATTTTGAATTTCTCATGTTTTAAATAAATCCAGCAGAACCATACTAAACTCACAGAAAATGAGCACTCGTTTTAGTAAGTTAGTTAGTTTGCCAAAACAGAGACTGAAGGCCAGATCCTTGGTCCTGTTCCAACTTTTTTGCAGTGCTCCATCACACAGCTCTACTCTAATCTTGTTGCAGCCCCCAGCAAAGGGGATGGGTTGGAGGAAGGGCATGTGGCTAGAATCTTGCTGTCCTCTGGTAATCTGCCGCTGGCAGAATGGCACCAAAGCACAGCTGCACAATTAAACTGAGCATTTTGTAAACTGTCAAATTACCCAGTACAACTTTGGATTGAGGTTTCCATTTATAACCAAATCTTCCACTCGTGATCATCTGCACTGGTTTTTTCTGTCTACAGAGGAGTAAAGATATATTCTTCATCTCTATTACTTTTTGGCAGCATCATACGCTCCTAAGAGCAGCAATTAAATAACGTTTGTGGGAGAAGCAGTTTATGAGGCTGAATTCTACACTGGAACCCATCAAAAAGGCAGCATTCATCAACACTTGCCAAACAGCAGAATGTGAGGTGCCACTGTTTTTCCCCTATACTTGGAAAGAGGGAATAACTGCTGGCAAATATTGACTTCTTAATGATGACCACTGTATTGCTGTAGGAGTTCTATTAGTGTGCTCAGCATGTATAAAAAACAGAAAAATTGTACATCCAGTGATCTTACATTTTAAGGACCAAATTCTGCCATAAGATATATGTGCACAACTTCCACTGAAGTAAATGGGAATTTTATGCACATATCTGAGGGCAGAATTTGAACCTGGATTCAGTGATGACAATGATTTTTTTTATACCAAGATCACTGTCAGAAATCCTATTATTTACCTCTTAAATCTCTGGAAATTGTTTTGTCATTGCAACTAAAGGAAGACAGTAAAAATTAAATATTTGGCATTCTTTGCATATATGACTGACCCTGCAAGGGATAATATTGTTGAGTTTCTCTAATCTGGTCCCAGAGTTCTATGATTCTACTGATACATCTATTATCTTCAGCTAGAAACAGAGTTTCATCTTCTCTGATCCAGGTAATAGGAATCCTGAGACTAAATCCAAACTAAAGATTTGGACATGCAGATGAATTAATAACAGGCACATGGAATGATTTCAAGTGACAGTGAGCAACTTTATTTAACATGGGGGGGGGGGGAAGCATTATATGCCACCCCCTACTCTCACATACCAGGCATTTAATTGGGTCCAGTACAGGGTTACAGGATTCCTACCATAAAACCAATAACTGAGGGTACTTTTGTTTCTGAATCTTCTTTATCAGCCCCTGCCCCTTCCCACCCCCCACCCATAGAAGGTGTAAAAGTTACCAAGGGAGGACTTCCGTGCATCAAGACTTCTTGTCTCCCCTTTTTCCCATAGGCAAATGGATCACCAGTGAAATCCCGGATCTCATTTACCTCTGAGAACTGGTCCCTTGTAGCTTTATCTGTACTGGACACTGGCTGCAAGTTGCAAAAAGCTAAAACAGTCTTCCTTTCCTCATATTAAACTTGCTAAATCTTAATTCTTATAACCTAACTGTGCTTCCATGATGCTGTGAGGAAGGCAAAAAAATCCACCACACTTTTGCTAAGTAGGTCCAATGGGAAAAATTCCTTACTGATCCAAAAGCAGGCAGTTAAGTCAGACTTGCAGCATCCTAAAAACACAGCTGTTATGCTACAACTACGAGGAGCGAGTGCAGGGCAACTAGCTGGAAAAAGAGGCTTTTGAAAACCCTGGGGGGAAGTCTCAATAAGTGGGGGTGAGAGAGAGCACTGTGAGTACCAACTGGTTAGCCCATTCCTCCATCCCAAGCCAATGGGAAGGCTGCGGTCTCTCCCACACCCCCATTCCCACAGTGTATGAATTCTTGCGTCCACCTCTCCTTCCGCACCTCCTGCTAGGACTGTGTACATCAGGGTGGGGCATTAATAGTCAAGTGTATTAGTCATGTCAAACTTTAATTTTATTATAAACAAAAAAGACAACCTCAGCTTTTATTTACATATAGCCTCCCCCTGATGTTTACAGAAAGAAGGTAACAAGTAAAAGCTTGCTGATATATTTGTATTACTGTATACTAGTTGCTCTCTCCATATTTACTTACGAGGAATACCATCAGCTTGAGGGGGGAAAAAAGTAATTTCTCTGAAAATTTTGTACTTATTGTGTGGGATTTTCAAATGTGCCTAAGTGATTTAGGAACACCATTCCCACTGGAAGTCAATGGGATTTGTGGTCATCTACGCACTTAGAAAAACTAACTGAAATCAGTTACTCTTATGTATTACTTTTAACTATAGTGGGTAGGATTTTCTATTTCCCTTCAGTTTAATTTGTGTATTCAAACAGCACTTTGTGTATAGTCAATCCCGCTGTTCACCCAGTAAAGTCAATTTTTTCCTTGCTAAAGGCACCCTTATCAACAGGAAAGAAGAAAAGTGTCTACATAACATTTAAAAAATATTAAAATTACATTTTCTGGGACATTTTATTTAAAGGATTCCATACCAAAATCTGGACCATTTAAAATTAGCCTATGTCAAAAAGTTGACAGTGTCTCTTTAATGAATACTTAACACACAACAATTTACATCTTCAAAGCACTGTACCACCAACGTTAAATATTAACATAAAGTAAGTGTCAGGTATTAGACACCAACATAAATTAAAGTAGGATTAATTTCAGAAGTCTGCCAAAATAGGGCAGAGTTCCATTAACAATGAAAAGTGCTGTTGGGCTAAAATATGAAAAAAGTAAAGTGGGACAAAAAGTTTTAATCCCTTTTATTAACATCACAATTGGATTTTTTTATACAGTAAAAAAGAAAAAACACTGGATATATATACACTACACTTAGAGATCACAGACTTGTGGAAATGCATTGGAAATATAATAAAAAGTGGAAAATAACATGCAATAGCTTTTGGCTGTTTTGTCTTCTTCCTCTGTGCAGCAAGCTACAGCTAAAAGTTATGATCTACTTTTGGACAGAGAGTGATTTATTTTAAATATTTTCCTGCAGCTGTACATGTCACCTAAATAATTTGTATCAAATATCTGGTTTTACAAAAATTAAGAATTTTAATTCATCTCATTAAACCAATGATTCCCAAATCATATCCCAATCACAATCAAAACAGAGACTGCACTTAATCCCTTTTCTGGTTCCTTCAGTCTCTCGCACTTTCCATCTGTTTGTTCCTCTTTTGTTTAGTCCCCGTCCCGCATCCCCCCACTCTCAGTCTCTCCTTCTAGTGTCTTTGGAGTGTCAGGGGACAGAGGCTACTCATTTGCAAGAGTAGCTGGAGCACCTTTCCATTGCAAAAATCACACTACTGGGGAGTATATGCCTGGGAACAAGCAGCCCCCAAACCATCTAGAAAGCAATGAATGAAACTCTATTCATAGACCTAAAATGTCTAGTACAAAAATCCACACAATTTTTCATTCCTTTCACCAAATTCAGAACATTGGGTAAGGGCTTCAAAGAAGTAGGATCTGCAGAAGCCATATACTGTCAATTCTCCATCACGAATTGCCTTTATATATCCCCTCTTGTATCTTAATTCCTAGGTTTCAAAATCACTTGTTGCACTCGCGCCGTGATTTCAAGGTCTACTAGATGCAACAAGTCTGGATCAGGTAAAAATGTGGCTATCCTTTTGAGACAGAAGATCCAAAGATATTAGAAGAAGAAGAATGGCTCCAATGCTATTGCTAGGAAATCATATTACCCCCTCCCCCTCCCGAAAAAACAACCCCAAACTGTAGTGATCATTGAAAAGTCAACAGATATTTTATATTTAAAACTGCCATTAACTTAAAAAAATATTTAGTACTTCTGAACTTCTGTGGATGATTAAAGTCAAATGTCCAGTTACAAATTTACAACTTAAAATATTAAACTGACACCAGTTTTATACCTAGTATTTAGGTATATACCTAGTAATTAGGTATACATAAATAAACATGGAGAGAACAGTACACAGCAATAACAATGAAGTGCAGCTGCAATCTCCCACCCCATCCTCATTATAACCATTGTCTACACTTTTAGGCAGTAATAAGCCTATGATAAAATGAAACTCACTGTTACTCATGATTTGGAAGATTAAAATGTGCATGCATCCTTGTATGTTATGTGGATTTCTTCCAAAGTGTGCTGAAGTACTTCATTTTAAACAGATATTTGTTCCAAACTTTATGATGGGCAGTGATGCCTAGTGGATAGAACACTAGACTGGCACTCTGGAGACTTGGGTTCTACTTCTGGCTCTGCCACTAGCCTATGGGGTGACCTTGAGCAAGTCACTTAGCCGCTCTGTGCCTCAGTTCCCCCATCTGTAAAATGGGGGAAATGATACTTACCTCTTCTGTGATCTACAGATCAAGCACTACCCAAGAGTTAAGTATGAAATACAAGAGCATCAATGTTTCATTCATTCATTTTATCAAATTACAATATATTCTTGACATAAAATTAGAGTCTTTCATAAGAAGGTATGCAAAAGGACAGTGCTGGTACAGACTAGCAAACAGTTTAGAAACTTCAAAAAACACAGTACAATATGAAAAAAAGGCGATTGAGGTTTATTTCAAGTCCTAAATTAAAATTTTAGAAGGTCTCTTTGAAACAAACAATAGTAAGGAAGTTTCAGCGTTCATACTGACATTTCATACAAATAATCACAGCATTTTTTATGTAATACTTCACCTGGGCACGTGTATAGCATGTTGGTGACTGTATTGGGATAGATTAGATGGCTACATAGAATAGTTATTTTTTTAATATACTACATTCAGTATACTCGAAAGCTGAACTTTAAAAAAATGTTTTAAAAATCCCAGTTGCTGTTGTAAAAGAGTTACATATTTATAAATATATAGCATTTTGATTAGCGCTGGAGAATCTCAATAAGAGTTGTTATTTTACTGCTATTCCCCAGCAGGAAGTTTATGACCAAAAAAAAGTTTTAATGAGCAGGCAGATGCTAAACACAAACTGCGAGCTTTAGTGAAACTGTTATTATTTGGTAGGAGAATTGTAAATATATAAGCATCGTCGTTCATATTAAACAACAAAACCATTAGAATTTACCTAGACAAAAGGTGTTGTGAGAATTTGTTATTTATAAAAGCACTTTGAAGGTAAGTGCACTGTCAGTGATAATATCTGGCAGAGTCAAACCTCTCTTGTGCATGCAAGTGATGAGTAGTACATTCTGCGTTACCAGCTATGGACTTGATCCCGATCCCATTGAAGTCAGGGTCAAAACTCCTACAAAGGGAGGAGGTGTTAGATCAGACAGCAAGCTGATAGTTTCCTGAGATTTTTAAATTACATTTAATAATTGTAAAGCTGTGCAAAATACAAGATGAAATAAAAATTATTACAAGGCTTTTGAATAGTAGGTTGTTTTTACAGGCAATATGTGCTATAATACCTAGATAAATAGTGCTGTTTAAGTGCAGATTTTCAGCATTCACTCTGAATTTTGCAGCTTTTGTTGATGTAAGCAGCCATATATTCTTGCTGCAGCTATATCCTTAAAATATTATATATGTTTAAACTAAAGACATTAAATTACAGACCCTTCCCCCGCCAAGGAACAGGAAATAAACTCTTATGTATTAGATATCAGTTGATAGCTCAAGTTAGCTCCCCCACAGCCATTATGTAGTACTGCATAAAAATGTATTGAAATAATTTGTAAAAAGCACACAATTAACAAAATAGTCATTAGGTCATTGGAATTATTCAGACTTTTTTTTTGCAAACTATGCCGTATATGTAGAAAAAATCCTTTTGAAAATTCGTCTTAATTGGTGACATTCATGGAAAGTTTTCTTAAGATTTAAAAAAAATTCTAAAAAAAAAATCTGATTGTATTAAGATCCTGATTCAGCAAGATACTTAAGCACATCAAAGCAACTACCCATGAGTTTAAAGTTAAGCATGTGCTTAAGTGTTTTGCTGACTCAGAGTCTAAGTCACCTAACATGGTGACAGGTTTCAGAGTGGTAGCCGTGTTAGTCTGTATCAGCAAAAACAACGAGGAGTCCTTGTGGCACCTTAGAGACTACCTTATGCCCAAATAAATTTGTTAGTCTCTGACTGATTATCACTGACAGAGCACTTACCTTCAAAGTGCTTTTATAAATAAATTCTCACAACACCTTTTGTCAAGGTAAATTCTAATGGTTTTGTTTAAGTCACCTAAGTGTCACGTTTTAAACTGAAGACATTTGAGTTTTGGGAGTGGGAGAGTGAGAGACATTGAAATGTTCTTCTTAAACTACAGCATTTTAACACTGAGCATATTTTTGTACTGACAAGCAATAAACTCGCAGAGAAAGTATCTTTATATTAGAAATGAAGCTGTAGTCTTAACTTTGTAAAAACAGTCTAAAAGGCATATACAGTAATTTAATCTGTGAAAGAGAAAAAATGTTCAGTTTAAAACACATACTGGGTCAATTAACTGAAACCTTTATCTGGTGGCCAAAAAATAACACTGAGAAATACTTTATAGGATGAGTCACTGTAACTTAATTTACTAAAATTGCAAATATGGATAGAAAAACACCACCAAGAACAACGTATGCTACCATTATGTAGCTCAATACATCTCTAATATTAGTCTATTGATTTTTAAACAACTTACATAATAAACCCTATTTCAGAAGCTAAATTGGGATCAACCTCCTTGAGCTACTGAAGCCAGCATTAGAATCCATCAGTTTTGGAGTTTTAGAGGCACTCTCATTACTTCCCAGTTTCACAGTTTAGCTAAATCCATGCTGTTTGATTTACTGTTTAGAGATGAAGAGACACATATAATAGAATTCTGGACATGAATGCACAAGCCTTCAGTGAAAGTCTAATTAATGGATTTTAGGATATCAGATTATTATGCCCTTGTTAATCTATGTGGGATTTAAGGTCTTAAAGTAAGTGTGCCTGTGTATATTTAGAAATGCCTATGCAGCTGCTGGGAGTGTACTTCCCAGTGTGGATAGGCAAACACTAGCTCTGCTCAGGCCAGTGTCCTAAAAATAGCTGTGTTTCCGCAGCAGCATGGGCTAGCCACACAAGTCCGTACCCATGAGGAGAAGGGTCAGGCAGGTTTGTACTTGGATGCCTAGCCCGAGCCACCATAGACACACTGCTATTTTTAATACGCTAGCTCAAGTATAGCTAGCGCATGTATGTCCAGCCAGGCTGGGAAGCACACTCCCAGCTGCAGTGTAGACATACCCTTACTTGTATGTAGAAATACAAAAACTGGAGTTTCTTGGGGCAACACTGTTGAGACACTACAAACAGCCTAAATTCAGAGCAGTGACGTTCACCCTTAGTCACTATCTTGTCTGCTTGTTAGGATATTGAAAAATATGGCACTCACCAGTACAAAGTAGTAGGCATACAGAGCTGCCAAGTGATGAATTACAAAAAATTTATCACCAATTGCCTTCCAGTAGTAAGTAATAAGAAACAAATCTGTAAAAGAAAAAAAAACATTAAATTATTACAACATAAGCTACCTAAGGACTATAATATTTCTCTTTAAAGCTTTCAGTATTACTGCAATCTAAAAGGAAAAACCTTTTTGGTTATCTGAGCTATGCATATATTTTTAATGGCAAATGGTGTCCAACTCAACCCACAAAAAGAAAAACAAATCTGAATTGTCTTTGAATTCAGCATTTCTAAGCTCAAGACTTCTGTATCCCTTCCCCTACTCCTCGGCTCCACAGATGGACATTAAATGTGAAAGGAAAAATTAGGCCTAAGCACTGGTTAAAATATTTTAGCTCTTCCAAAAATGTTCATAAATCTTTATATTTCCTACATGAAGGGAGCTGCCTGGCCACAGCTTTAGCAGGAGGTACACTGTGAGTAAGGATAGATCCAGGGACACCCCGCCCCCAGTTCTAGGTCCTGGTCTGGAAGATGACTCATGAGCCCACAATAATTGTATCAAGAACCCCAGAGAGAAAGGGGCTTGAGGACACTGCCAAAATATGACTGGGTCCACTATGGGAATGGTGGAGCAGCAGATGTTATTAGCAGGGCAGGGACCCCTAATGCTAAAAACATTAGCTCTTTGATTTGTTGAGCCCTTTGATTTCTTGGCTTCATTTAGTCATAATCCACCAGTGATCACAAAAGATAAATAACCTGACACAGGTTGTCATTAAGAACAAATAATTGAGTGAAAGAGAGCACAATTGTATGTAAGGATGACAGCCACACCAGATAAAATTATTAAAAATATTTTCAACCTCTTTCACATAGGATCAGACTCTGGCTTAAAATGTGTAGGAAGACAAGGACAATGGGGAGAGGAGTAAGTATGGAGCTGTTTCCCCCAGCTTTGTTGGGATTGCTAAAAACCTGCCGCTTGCACTCTATGGGCACAGGGGAGACTGAGGACATTAAAGCTGCCAGCAGCAGTAAACATCCCAAAAGGGGTTGGGGTCACAACTCCCACCTCTTCTGAATTGGCTGGAGGGCCAGAGGTGAGGATTGAAGGGTGTTCAGCACCCAATAAGGCAGTATTTCCATCTCTCTCCTCCACTAGCAGGTTGCCTCCAGGCATTGTACTGCCCACAAACACAGCAGTAGCTTTAAAAACTACACTGGACCCTATATTGTTTATAGAAGCTCATCACATCCTCAGAATAAAATTTAGATGTATCTATGATATAGACAACGTATAATTACCAGAAATGAGGTAGCCTGTGGTAATAGCAATATTCAGTTTCACAATTGAAGGGTCACCCCTGTAAACATAAAAAATGATGTACAGTTCCAGCCTTTATAATAAAAAGTTAAATTTGCATAGGACATACAAACATCACAAACCATTCCCCTCCTGCCGGGCCACTCATGCTTGACCCAGCCATGTAGCATCATGGAAATTTGGGTGAGGGGAGAGGAGAAGTTGCTAATTAGGAAGACTGATTTCAAAGACAGAACACATCTGCTGCCCCAGGGAGGCCAGCAGCAAGGATCACCTCATGCCTTGGGCAGCTGGCAAGGGAATGGACCTGAAACTCAATAAGTCCCCTGGCATACTGAGGCATAATAAGGTCAGCTAATAAAGAGTGCTTGTCAGCACCTTTGCTGACATTATTAAACACGCCCTTTTATGTCTCCTATCCTGCCCTAATTTTTAAAAACTTAGTTTGGGATGATAAGTACCAGTTGAGTGAGAAAGATTTTTTTTAAATCACAATCATGGGATACCATGTTGACAGCTAGAGTGCAGGGGAAAATGAAAGTTACTCTTCTGTAACCAAGCTATTTAAGAGGACCTCAGCACATTCTTACTCTTGGGATGTGCTGAAATTGTAGCTTGGACTGATGGAACCTTCTAACAGCAGTGCCCACCGGTGCACTCTTGTGCCCCCTGCACCTCTCCTCATGGCTCCTCAAAGGGCAAAGCCATAATAGCGTACGTGGTGTGCTAACCCTCTCAGTTCTTTCTACCACCTCAAGTCCAAAGTTGTAATTAGGACTCAGAGAAAGAGGGAAAGGTGGGAAGTGAGTGTCATTATGCAGAATCCATCTCCAAGAGCTCTGGTTACAGGTGAATAACCTTCATTTGTTGTTTGAATGGCCTATGCACATTCCCACTCTTAGGAGTCTGGCAAGCAGTATTCTTCACTCTGTACAGTGATACAAGGAGGTCTCATTAAAAAGAGATTGTAACACTGCTTTACCAAATTGAGCTAGATGCCACATGTAAGGAATGTTTTATGAAGTATGAATTGAGACTAAGTAAAAGCTGTACAGATGCAGCTTTGTTCTCACAGAGTGCACTCTAAGCTCTTTTGGAAAATGTGTATTTAACACACTCTTCAATACAGAGTCCAACCCATGTAGAAAGGTGTTGGGATGTGACTGCCCAAACTTTACTCTTTCCCCATAAGAGACAAACAGTCCAGGCAATTTTCTGCCATTCATATAGAAGGCTAATGTTCTGTTAGCATCCAAGGTATGGAGCTTACCTAAAGAAAGCTAAGAATGTAGCCTTGGAAAAAATACTGGCAAGTTTATGGATTGATGGAGATGATAGATGTTCATTAAACCCTTCAAAATCTTTTTAATATATCATGACTAAATACGGTATTTTGTTCAACTAAGCTATAGTGAGCAGACATGGCTGCGAGATGTACTTTTACCAATGATATGGAGAGTCCCAAGCATTTCAGATTAAGGAGATACTCCTGTATGGATTTAATAGGAACTGAATCTAGGTTTATTGTTAGTTGCCAACAAAGAGAACCTTTTCCACTTATGATTGTAAAAGTTGATGCTTTCTGGAGTTTAACAGAATTCCTGTGCTTTTTACTCAGAACAGAACTATTCTATATCTGTTGAAATACTATTCTGCTAAATGGAGGCCTAGATGGCAAATCTGACCTCTCTGCTGGGCCCGGAGGCTGGAATTCCAGGGAGAGACAGATAAACTGTTTATGATAGTTACAGTAGATCCCACAACCGCTATTGTCTCACACAGGCCAAAGTAACTTTAGCTTTCTCTTGTTCAAATATTCATGAGAACTCTGAATTAGAAGAATTTGGGGCTGAGGGGACACAGGAGGAAACCTACTCCCTAGTCTACAAGAAATGCATCAGAGATGGACTGGTTGTCCACTCCTGCTCTGGAGCAATACCTCGAACATTTAGAGTTACGTCTTGTTGCAAATAGGTCCATCTCCAGGTACTCCCATGGGGAAGGGATGTCATTCTCTATAGAGTTCCCAAGTGACCACCTGTGCTGATCATGAAAGTCTCTGCTCAACTAATCTGCCAGTATGTTGTCCTTGGCTGCAAAGTGAGGAGCTATATGATAAATTTGGTGTGCCATGCACCACTCCCACAGAGCTTCAGCCTCTTTATACAGCTGGTTGGAACATGCTCTCTCTGCTTATTCATGTAAAACATTGCTGTAATGTCAGTAATTTCACCTCTACCCCGGTATAACACTGTCCTCGGGAGCCAAAAAATCTTACCGCGTTATATGTGAAACCGTGTTATATCGAACTTGCTTTGATCCACCGGAGTGCGCAGGCCCCCCGCTCCTGGAGCACTGCTTTACCGCATTATATCTGAATTTGTGTTATATCGGGTCGCGTTATATCAGGGTAGAGGTGTATTTTGGAATAGAAATTTTTCTCTCAAAAATTCCAGATACCGTGAATTGTCAAATTCTTGTAAAGAGACCTCCAGCAACTTGGAAGGGTCAGAGGTGACTACAGCTGACTGAGCTGGGGAGTTGAATACAACTTTTTTTAAGACAGTGTGATGTTAAGTCCACCATATGAAGGATAGGAACATTGGGCAGGTCATTTCATTAACATACAGTCTTCCTAGCTAATACTGAAGAGGTCTTATCTTTAGATCTGCATGTAGAGTTACGCATGTTTCAGAATCCATAGGGCTCATCAGCTTGAGGAAGACCATCACTGTTTGCCATGGTTTCTCCTGTAGTATTTCCAAGTACCTTTCTTCTGGGACAAAAAACTCTCCTCTGTTGTACTTCCTTAAAGTAAAGGCAAGAGTCAGCTTCTGATTTTAGTAGCCTCTTAGCTCACTTGGTCAGATTAAAGGAAAGGCATTTCTTCTTAATTTTTCATTGAATTATTAAAGTAATTCTTGTGTTAACCTTACAAGTTGATTTAATTACTCATTGTAGTAATTGACAAGCCAGATAAACTGAATCATTGATCTACTGATTAAATGTTGATAGAATTTTGATAGTAACCTTGATTTGATCATTGCATTGTTTTACATTTGATTAGGGAAATTAGAAGTAAATTAGTGACAGTTGTTTAGCTTCATATTTATTTGAGTTTTTTATAGAATCCATAAAAGCACACTAGCATGGCTCTTCTCTCAAAACTCCAGTACATAAGAACATAAGAACATAAGAATGGCCATACTGGGTCAGACCAAAGGTCCATCTGTATCCTGTCTGCTGACAGTGGCCAATGCCAGGTGCCCCAGAGGGAATGAACCTAACAGGTAGTGATCAAGTGATCTCTTTCCTGCCATCCATCTCCACCCTCTGACAAACAGAGGCTAGGGACACCATTCCTTACCCATCCTGGCTAATAGGCATTAATGGACTTAACCTCCATGAATTTATCTAGTTCTCTTTTAAACCCTGTTATAGTCCTAGCCTTCACAACCTCCTCAGACAAGGAGTTCCACAGGTTGACTGTGCGCTGTATGAAGAAGAACTTCCTTTTATTTGTTTTAAACCTGCTGCCCATTAATTTCATTTGGTGGCCCCTAATTCTTATATTATAGGAACAAGTAAATAACTTTTCCTTATTCACTTTCTCCCCACCACTCATGATTTTATAAACCTCTATCATATCTCCCCTTAGGGCAGGTCCACACTGGGGCGGGGGATCGATATAGGAAACGCAACTTCAGCTACGAGAATAGCCTAGCTGAAGTCGACGTTTCCTATATCGAACTAAATTTACTTACTTCGGGTCCACGCGGCGCAGGCAGGCTCCCCCGTCGACAGCGCTTCCTCCTCTCGGCGAGCAGGAGTTCCGCAGTCGACGGGGGAGCGCTTCTGGAATCGATCTATCGCGTCCAGATGAGACGCGATAAATCGATCCCAGAAGATCGATCTCTACCCGCCGAATTGGGTGGGTAGTGTGGACCAGCCCTTAGTCTCCTCTTTTCCAAGCTGAAAAGTCCTAGCCTCTTTAATCTCTCCTCATATGGGACCCGTTCCAAACGCCTAATCCTTTTAGTTCCCCTTCTCTGAAACTTTTCTAATGCCAGTATATCTTTTTTGAGATGAGGAGACCACATCTGTACATAGTATTCAATCTGTGGGTGTATCATGGATTTATATAAGGGCAATAAGATATTCTCCGTCTTATTCTCTATCCCTTTTTTAATGATTCCTAACATCCTGTTTGCTTTTTTGACTGCCACTGCACACTGCGTGGACATCTTCAGAGAACTATCCATGATGACTCCAAGATCTCTTTCCTGATTAGTTATAGCTAAATTAGCCCCCCATCATATTCTATATATAGTTGGGGTTATTTTTTCCAATGTGCATTACTTTGCATTTATCCATATTAAATTTCATTTGCCATTTTGTTGCCTAATCACTTAATTTTGTGAGATCTTTTTGAAGTTCGTCACAGTCTGCTTTGGTCTTAACTATCTTGAGCAATTTAGTATAGTCTGAAAACTTTGCCACCTCACTCCCTTTCTCCAGATCATTCATGAATAAGTTGAATATGATTGGTCCTAGGACTGACCCTTGGTGAACACCACTAGTTACCCCTCTCCATTCTCCATTCTGAAAATTTACCATTTATTCCTACCTTTATTCCCTGTCTTTTAACCAGTTCTCAATCCATGAAAGGATCTTCCCTCTTATCCCATGACAACTTAATTTACGTAAGAGCCTTTGGTGAGGGACCTTGTCAAAGGCTTTTTGGAAATCTAAGTACACTATGTCCACTGGATCCCCCTTGTCCACATGTTTGTTGACCCCTTCAAAGAACTCTAATATTAGTAAGACATGATTTCTCTTTACAGAAACCATGTTGACTTTTGCCCAACAAGTTATGTTCTTCTTTGTGTCTGACAATTTTATTCTTTACTATTGTTTCAACTAATTTGCCTGGTACTGACGTTAGACTTACTGGTCTGTAATTGCTGGGATCAGCTCTAGAGCCCTTTTTAAATATTGGCATTACATTAGCTATCTTCCCGTCACTGGGTACAGAAGCTGATTTAAAGGACAGGTTACAAACCATAGTTAATAGTTCCGCAATTTCACATTTGAGTTCTTTCAGAACTCTTAGGTGAATGCCATCTGGTCCCGGTGACTTGTTACTGTTAAGTTTATCAATTAATTCTAAAACCTCCTCTAGTGACACTTCAGTCTGTGACAATTCCTCAGATTTGTCACCTACAAAGGACGGCTCAGGTTTGGGAATCTCCCTAACATCCTCAGCTGTGAAGACTGAAGCAAAGAATTCATTTAGTTTCTCTGCAATGACTTTATCGTCTTTAAGTGCTCCTTTTTTATCTCGATCGTCCAGGGGCCCCACTGGTTGTTTAGCAGGCTTCCTGTTTCTGATGTACTTAAAAAACATTTTGTTATTACCTTTTGAGCTTTTGGCTAGCTGTTCTTCAAACTCCTTTTTAGCTTTTCTTATTACATTTTTACACTTAATTTGGCAGTGTTTATGCTCCTTTCTATTTACCTCATTAGGATTTGACTTCCACTTTTTAAAAGATGCCTTTTTATCTCTCACAGCTTCTTTTACATGGTTGTTGAGCCATGGTGGCTCTTTTTTAATTCTTTTACTGTGTTTTTTAATTTGGGGTATACATTTAAGTTGGGCCTTGTAGCGGGGCAGTTACCCCGCTCCTGAAAGAAAAGGCTAGACTGATTGGGGAAGCAGCCACAGCTGGGGCCATGCCCCAGTCAGGCCATAGCTGGCCCTATAAAAGGGCTGTGAGCCAGGTGCTAAGTCTGTCTCTCTCTAGCTGTGGCGAGAGAAGGATCTGGCTGCCTGGGAGCTTAGGGTACTGGGAGTAGAGCAGGATTGGGGAAAGGCAAGAGGAGCTGGGGAGCTCCAGCCTAGCAAATCCCCAGGATGTAGGCCTTGCTAAAGGCCTAAAGAAGGTACTGGAGCTGCAGAGGTGCAGTCTGGGGTTAGGCAGAGGCAGCTGGTCCAAACCCCCATGCCGATGATGAGTGGCCATGACAGACTGCAGTTTGCCCCAGTGAGTGGGGGCTAGATGACGACTGGCAGTAGTCACTGAGGCAAGGTGGGTGAGAGGGTTGGGGGTTCCCCACATCCCTTGGCCCACGCCGCTTCCCGCAGCCCCCAGTGGCCTGGAGCAGCGAACCACGGCCAGTGGGAGCCGCGATCAGCCGAACCTGCGGACGCGGCAGGTAAACAAACCGGCCCGGCCCGGCAGGGGCTTTCCCTGAACAAGCAGCAGAATGGCTTTGAGAACCACTGAGGTACAGGACATTTCCCTTGGACCCTTCTGGGAAAAGGTTCTCTTTGCGGCTGCCTTTCTTCAACCCTTTTAAATTTAGGGTAATACCTAGAGGAAGGCCAATATGGATGCGATGTCAAAGGTTGTCGCTCCCAGTCCTGCTAGTATCTGGCAGGCAATTCCCTATCATAATTCCTGGGTGAGGAAGGGTGATCTCACAGTCTGAAAGGTTGGAATCTACAGTCTCACTAATGCTCTTTGGGTTTGCTGACCCATCTCCTAGGACAGGAAGGTTAAGGAAAGGTATCAGGCCATTTGTAGCCTGATTTCAGATCCAAGGAAGTTACTAAGGCTAGGTCTACACTACCCGCCTGAATCGGCGGGTAGAAATCGACCTCTCGGGGATCGAATTATCGCGTCTCGTCGGGACGCGACAATCGATCCCCGAATCGACGCTCTTACTCCACCAGCGGAGGTGGGAGTAAGCACCGTCGATGGGAAGCCACGGAGGTCGATTTTGCCACCTTACAACGGGGTAAGTCGGCTTACAACGGGGTAAGTCCTTACAACGGGGTAAGTCGGCTGCGATACGTCGAATTCAGCTACGCTATTCGCGTAGCTGAATTTGCGTATCTTAAATCGACCCCCCCCCCGTAGTGAAGATGTAGCCTAAGACTGACAATGATTTGGTTTAGCAAAAAGGACAAGATATTTCCCTGAGGAACCAGTAGGACAAGAGTCACATATTGCCAAGGAGGTTTATATAGCTACTGAATCAGGCAGCAATATGCAAGTGCAGATATAACCAGTAAAAGACCACCATCTCAACCTGCCTGGAGCTGCCTAGACTGAGCTGCAGTTCTTCCTTTTCCTTCACAGAAACACAAAATTGCCATATCACATCAGACCAGTGGTCTTTCTATTCTAATATCATACTTCAAAGGAAGGTTCAAAAACTTCCATAGTGGACAGTTATAGAGTAGCCTGCTCATTGGTGAAGTTTCATATGAATTCCTGTCAGTTAGTGATTTACTTATGACCTGAAGACCTTCTTCCTCCCACCAATTTCTCTCTCCTATTCTCATAACCTCTGACTTCTCCCTCATTTTCATCACCTTAAAAACAATACCTAAGTAGTCTATAAAGTCACAACTTGTATTAAGCAGAAAGGAAAAACTACTACTATGGAACCTTCTATACCATCAAGTAGTACACACAACTCAGTTGAATAATCACCTGATGTTTCATTATAACTCTTGTCCATCCACTTATCCCTATTGTTTGTTACATTTAATTATGTGTAATGCCTGAAATTAGATTCTAAATTCTTCGGTGCAGGGACAATTAAGTTTAAGATTCACATCCAGGCATTAAAACCCTGAAAGTTAACCCACCTAGCTGGGCCACACATAGATCCAGAAGCATTTCAGACGAAGCTACCCTAAAGGCCCTGGACCTAAGATTTTACACACAACTAACTCTGAAGGACAGGGTTGATTTGGACACTATCACATAGCCACCCACAACTATACATTGAGAGGGCATGTGGCAGAAGCAAGGAAGTGAAATTGGGGAGGAAGCATTTGGCCAAGTTATAACAAGCTTTTGAAAACTTGCAGTTTGCACGTACTCAGTAGAGACTTTCTAGAGTTTAACAGCTAAAAGTCTCTGAAGATTTTATCCTCACAGAGCATGCTCAAGCCTCTCGCAGCTACTAATGCTGACCAGACTGCGCATGCACCATCTCCACAAAGCAATGGAGCCCAGGAACACTGGGTTTCAAAGGACTTTCTCTGTAATGGCTGCTCCAGGCCAATACCAATAATCAGTTTATGCAAAATAAAAATACTTAGCGCTTTATATCTTCAAAGTGCAATTCAAATTTTGACTTGTTTCTTGAAGGTGCTGCATGCTCTCAATTTCCATTGAAACCAGTGGAAATCAAGGGAGCTTAGAATCTTGCAGGACAGAACCCTAAACAATTATAATAATATCCCTGTGAGAAAATAGTGAAAGTATTATCCCATTCTTACCAATGAAAAACAAACACAGCAATATTAAAGAACATGCCCAAAGCCACACAACAAGTCAGTGGCAAAGCTGTGATTAGAACTCATAACTTCATAGCATCCAGTTCTGTTCAGTACACCAGACCATATTGCATTCTATTACTGATCTGTAAACAACTGAGCAGTATGAAATGCAGACCTTTGTTCTGTTCTTTTAAAACCAGATGAAATATTTTTTGCATTTAAGTTTAGTCTGATTCCCATGTTGTGATTCAGTTTAAAATAAAGTTATGGTGGAAAGAGGAGTTAAAGCTTTAAAAAAAAAAAAAAGTTTAATTATACAGGTAAAATCAACAGTTCTTCTTACATAGCTTTAAAGAAAGGAAAAAGTCAGTCCCAATAAAGGGTAACAGCTTCAACTTTCTGCTAACAATCTCATGAATCAACTCAAACAAAATCCTGTATTATACTGCAAAAGTCTGTTGGGGGCGGGGGGAGAGACAAACACCAAGGACCAAAACTTATTTTCTTTTGAGTTTTTAAGTTCTAATGCAGGAAGATCTTCTAATTAGTTTGAGGAACTACTGGAAATCATTGACAGGAGGAGAGCAGCAGCATTTATTAGAGAGAGAACCTCTGCTGTACCACTATTGAGAAAAACCTTTTCAGAGGGGGTGGGGAGCTGAAGAAAAACTGATATAGTGTCTTCATTTTACACTTAAAATCTCATCTAACTTTTGGTCATATTTTTCCCCCCTACAGACATTCAGAGTGTGCAACCAACCTAATTCTCAATTACTAGGGGACAATCTCCACTCATTGATATATTTTGCTTTCCACAACCAAATCTCTGTACAACTTTTCATAAGTGATGTACCCAAGTATTCGGATTCTAATATCTAAACTGCATTGTTAAATCTATTCACCTAAATTTGGGTTATTGCTGATTATGTACACTATGTATCATATGACTTTTAAAAACTAACTCTTTTCCCAACCAGTGTATTATATAATTTTTTTAACATTAGCTTTAATAAAAATTTTATATCTTCGCTGTTTCACTTTTCAAGCAAAACAGTAAATAGACACAAATGATGTTAAATCTGCAGTCACCTTTTTGATTGTTTACGGTTGTATTTTCAGAGCTGTGCATTAAAATTGGAGGTTGAATTTCAATTAACTGTCCTGAGAAATGTGTCTCTAACCGTTCATACTACTTCGTAGAAACTGTTATACAGTAGGCTTATAATGGCATTTTAATTGGCAAAATAATTTGGATTTTACCAGATAATCAGGACAGACATATAAATGGCCCTCCACATTTTAAGAGAAACTGAGTGCTAATTTAGCTAGTTAATACTCTAACACGATAGCAACATTGGGAGACAAAGATGTGGGAAAATGGGAACAAAGAAAAAAGTCATATTCTTAAAGTCAGTTTGATATAACTTGTCTTACCAGACATGGTCAGCATTAACAGCTTCATCATACAACAAGATATATACACAAAAAGCACCAACCACCAAGGCATGGAAGGTGGATACTGTCCTGAAAAAAAGAAATATATATTACATTGGTGATTACCATTCTGACTGATACCACAATTTAGAATATACCATCTTAAGTGCAAGATGGTATATTTCCAAGGAAATTCTGAATGACATACAGAAGTTCTTGTACTATAAAGACATTTCATTTGTATATTATATCTATCAGCTCATGGAATGACTTGTTTTTAATATAGACAGCAAAAGTATACATAGGGAAGGAGGAAAATATTTTTGGTGCAATCAATGCTTCATTTTTTTTATAATGACAAAGTAGTTAAAACATAAAATTAACATACCTTGATAGTCCCATACCTTGATAGTCAGTAAAGTCCCATTTACTGACACTTATCTGCAAAAGCAAACTCATGACTAAGCTCTTTAAATTCATTCTTCCAGCAGTAATCAACTTGTTAAATGAACCAAAAGGAGACTTCTTGTACTTCATACTGAATTCAAACTGGCCCATATATGCTATGTTAGCAGATTTCTGTTTGTAAGCACCAAATTTAACAGCTGGAATGCTTTTCTGTTCTTGTTTTTTTAGGTGGGTGGGGAAGGCCGTAGATTAAACAGAAACTCTAGCACTGACAGCTTCAGAGAAGGATAGTCTTGTGCATATGACCCAGCTTCTAGGTCTCTCAGAACAAAATTGAATAGTACAAGACTGCAATTGCAAGACTTCAATACACAAATATGAGCATCATAGGTGTGCTGAGGGAGTAGAAGCTATAGTATAAATGATAATGATTCAAGTCTGACAACTGCTGAACTTGAATTGATATGCAAACTAGATATAATCAACTTAGGCTTGAATAGAGACTGGGAATGGCTGAGCCATTACAAACATTGAATCTATCTCCCCATGTAAGTATTCTCACACTTCTTATCAAACTGTCTGTACTGGGCTATCTTGATTATCACTTCAAAAGTTTTTTCTCTTACTTAATTGGCCTCTCAGAGTTGGTAAGACAACTCTCACCTTTTCATGCTCTCTGTATGTGTATATATATATATATCTCCTCAATATACGTTCCATTCTATGCATCCGAAGAAGTGGGCTGTAGCCCACAAAAGCTTATGTTCCAATAAATTTGTTAGTCTCTAAGGTGCCACAAGCAGGGCCGGCTCTGGCTTTCTGGCCGCCCCAAGCAAAAAAAAACCACGGCGGCCAGCACAGCAGGGCCAAAAAAAAACCGGCGGCACGGCCGGGGCCGGGGGGCAGGGGGACGCCCTGCCGGGCGGATGGGCCCCGGCTAGCGGGGGCAGGGGGAGGGAGCGGGGGGAGAGAGAGAAGGGGGGCGGCCAGGGCTTCAGCAGGGCGCTGCCACGCGGCCCCTCCCGCCGTGCCCCCTGCCGGGAGGGCTCCACATCGCTCCGGTTGGCTGGGAGGGAAGGATGCGGGCTGCCCTGCCGGGCTTGCTGCAGGGCGCTCCCGTCCTCCACGCCGCCGCCCCCTACAGGGCGGCCGGAGCAGAACAACAACAAACAAAACAAACAAAAAAAGCGGCTGTGCCACCCTAGGATTGGGCGGAATGCCGCCTCCTACAAGCTGCCACCCCAAGCACCAGCTTGCTCGGCTGGTGCCTGGAGCCGGCCCTGGCCACAAGTACTCCTGTTCTTTTTGCGGACATTACACAATTAACACTATATAATGCAACGCACACGTGTGTAAGGAGGCAAGGGGGACCCTATCTTTGACTTGTGCATTTAAAATATTAATAATTTGGAAAAATCATTTTTCCATATATATCAACATCAGAGTCCCAAACACGGCTCTGCAGGATTTAAATGGAAAACTACTTGTTTCTCTCAAGCCTTTCCCCAAAGTTACTTTTCTTATTCTCCCTATTTACAAAAGCTATTCTTTCTAACCCCAATGGATTACACTGTAAATCTCCAATAAGAGGAGTCTGGATGGTCTCCACTTAATTTGTGTTATTGTGCTGCTTTCAGCAATTGCTTTTAATGGAATGTTCTATCAAATAGATAGAATACGGTTTTAATTAATCTTCAGAATAACAGTTAAATATAGCTGTATTGGACAAGTGTATTTACTGCAACAGGTGTAGACAAGCCCTAAATCTCTGCGTAAGCAACAACCTGGTGATAACAAACATGCTATTTCAACAAAGAAAACTGCAGAGGATGTGGACATAGAGATCACTGTGACACTGGCAAACCAGGTGTCAGCTCTTGCCAAGGCTTTAGACCTCAGCCGCGCACTGACAAATTAATTGCTGGAAACTAGTCTGTTTCACCTGTGCTTTAGTATGTTTAAAATGGGTATTAAACTTGTAACAATGTGTTTAGAATTTATGAAACACCTGTTAATTGCTGTATGCATTAATCTCACTTATAGTATATTTATCACCCGGTATAAGATGAAAATTAAGTTTTTGCTTTATAAAACAAAAAAAAAGTTTGTTCTGAAACTGAATCTGCTCATCAAGGCAGCTATCAAAACTAAATGGGCGATTGTGGGACATCACAATACAAAGACTTTGTTAATTGCCCCTTTACACCCATGAAGCGGCTACATGCAAAAGGGCTCATCCCATCAGCATGAATTCTGGAAGAAGGAAATAAGAATAGCTGAAAAGAAAATTTTTCCTCTCTTTTTTCCTGTTTGGACTATGACAGGGCGAGAACTATGAAACAGAAACACAGATCTCCATGGTCAACCTAAAACACCTTCAGAGTGGACAGATTACTACAACTCTGTCACCTTTTGGAACCATAGACTGTAACTCATTTGTGTATAAAAGTTTACTTGGAAGTGTTATTTACTCCTTCTCATAACACAAGAACTAGGGGTCACCAAGTGAAATTAATAGGCAGCAGGTTTAAAATACACAAAAGGAAATATTTCTTCACACAACACACAGTCAACCTGTGGAACTCTTTGCCAGAGGATGTTGTGAAGGCCAAGACTATAACAGGGTTCAAAAAGGAACTAGATAAATTCATGGAGGATAGGTCCATCAATGGCTATTAGCCAGGATGGGCAGGGATGGTGTCCCTAGCCTCTGTTTGCCAGAAGCTGGGAATGGGCGACAGGGGATGGATCACTTGATGATTACGTGTTCTGTTCATTCCCTCTGGGGCACCTGGCATTGGCCACTGTCAGAAGACAGGATACTGGGCTAGATGGACCTTTGATCTGACCCAGTATGCCCGTTCTTTTGTTCTTAACCTTATAATAACTCTCTCGTTTATTTTTTAGTTAATAAATCTTTAGTTAGTTTATTACAGGATGGGCTACAAGTGTTGTCTTTGATGAGATATCTAAAGTACAAAGTGACCTGGGACTGGGAGAAACCTGAATATTTTGTAATCTTTGGTGTACTATCACTAAGTCCAGCTTGCCTGGGTAGCAAGATGGACTGGAAGGCCCAAGGAGACTGTCTGTGACTCTGTAAGGCTGTTATAGTGCTTTAGGAGTTCACATTTGTTACTGGGTTGGTGAAATCTAATTATCGATTTCCCCCCAATTTGGGACCCTTGCCCTGTTTCTTGACAGTCTGCCCTGAGGTTGGCACTCATGGTCGTGAACCACTCCAGACAGCGTGACAATCACCTGATGGGTAATTAAAGAACATGATAGACTTTGTACTTGTGAATCACAGGTGGAAATCAATTGTTGTTGTTGTGCAGATCATTTGCAGTTGATCATAAGTTAGTGCTGGCATCAATTGGGATGAAAAAAAAGTGCCAAGAACTAAGATCTATGATGTGGACAAATTGAAAGAGACAGGTATGAGGAAATGATACAGAGAAGCCATGCAGAAAATCATCATACATCTGGTAAAAGAATAAATGAACATTGAAGAGACATGGAACAGTGTAAAAAATGGGATTACAAGAGTGGCTGAACAAATGTTGGGCTATAAGGCCAAAACGAAGAAAGAAAGGTAGAAAATGGATTAAATACTGCAAATGAGTGACAAGTGTAGGAAGCTGAAGGAGAATAAAGAGGAGGATGGAGAGTTTAAGAGCTAGTACAATAGGCTGACTAGAGATAAAACAGAAAGCAAAGACCGACAGGAACAACTGGATAAGTGAACATTGTAAAGAAGCAGAAGAATATACAAAGAGAAATGCAACACAAGGGTTGTATTGCAAGATAAGAGAACTGTGTAAGACATATGAATTGCAGATGTCAGTGGTGAAAGACAAGTGTGGATACATAACTGAGGATTAACAAGCAAAGAATAAGTGATGGAAAAATATTCTGAAGAGCCATACAATGTGCAGAACACAGAAGATGAAATGGTCCTGAACAAGCTTCCCAGCACAAATGAGGGACAGAAAATACTGGAATTCTTAGAAGAAGTAGTAAATATCCCAATGGAAAGTTTCAAAAAGAAAAAGGAGCCAGGGAAGCGACAACATAACCAAAAGCTGCTGCAAGCAAGCAAGCAACACATGGTAAAGGCAATGCACAAGCTATTCAACAAGATTTACAAACATGAACAAGGGCTGAGCGAATGGGGGAAAGCAACAGTAATACCAATCTATAAAAAAGGAGATAAGAGTGAATGCAAGAACTACAGAGGACTCAGCTTATTGACTGTGCTGGGAAAAGCATTCACCAAGACATTGCAGAGATCAAAGAGGTGTGTGGAAATGGCACTTGAAAAGGAACAGGCCAGATTTAGATCAGAACAATATAAAGTAGATCTGTTATTTATGATAAGATAGATATAGGAGAGGTACATAGAACACAACCAGACCTGTTACAACACCTGTATAGACTTCAAAACAGGCTTTTGACAGCACTTGGCAGAAACAGTTATGGCAACTTATGACAATATATGGCATCTCAAAGAAACTTCTACAGCAAATTGATGAGTGCAGTAAGAGTAGACATGAAGCAGAGTGGATCAGGACAACCGTAGGAGTGAGGCAAGGATAAACACCCTAATCAGTTTTGTTCAACTTGGTACTAGAAGCCGTAATTAGTGTAGTACTGAAAGATGAAACAGGAGGAGTCATGTTACGTTTTAGGATAATGCATAACCTTAGATTCGCAGACAATATTGACCAAGGAGCAGGGCCGGCTCTAGGCACCAGCAAACCAAGCATCTGCTTGGGGCGGCACATTTTCAAGGGCGGCATTCTGGCCATTTTTTTTTTTTGCTTCCGGCAGCAAAAGCCTAGAGCCGGCCCTGGCAGCAGCAGCGCGTGGTGTGCAGGGGGCGCCCTGGGGCCGCTGCGGTTCGCGCCGCAGGGGAGCAGCACCCGCACCTTGTGGCTGGGCTGGGCAGGCTCCGAGCAGGGGACACTCGGGCTGGGGGCCGCCCCGCGGGGCACTTGGAGCCACCTGCGGGTGCCGCAGGGCTGCCGCCCCCCAGCGCCGCAGCCGGGGCTGAAGGAAGCGGCCCGAGCCACCCAGGGACTGCAGCAGGGCGGCCAGAAGCAGCAGCAGCAGCGGGGCCATAGAGGGCGCGGTGCTGCCGTGTGGGGCCAGCATCCCGCTCTCTGGGACTCCGCTCCCTCCTGGACTGCCCTGCCCCGGCTCCTCAGCCCCCTGCCGGGGCGGTCCCCCGGCTCTGCCCTCCCGGGTCCCGGCCGGTCCTGGAGGCAGGAGCCCTGGCTGGAGGGACCCTGGGCTGAGGCGCGGCCCAGGAGCCCCGCTGCTTACCCCGACCCTGCCAGACCCGGACTGGCTGGAGGCGAGGGGGGGAGCCCAGGGCTGGGGCGGCAGGGGGTGCGGGGGGGGGCGGGAAGAGAGAGCCCAGGACTGAGGTGGCAGGGGGCTAGGGGGTGAGAGCCCAGGGCTGGGGTGGGGGGGGGCAGCCAAAAATTTTTTTGCTTGGGGCGGTAAAAAACCTAGAGCCGGCCCTGCCAAGGAGGATTTACAGATAGTAATTGACAAGGTAGATCAGGAAAGCAAAAAATTCAGATTGAAGAACAGCATGGAGAAGAGAAAAATTATGGCAACTGGAAGACAAGAGAAAGAACTAAAGATCAAACTCAGAGACAAAAAACCAGAACACATGGGAAAAAATTGTGTACCTTGGAGGACCAGTATTGAAGAACGGGAATTGTGAAGATGTTATCAAAAATAAAATCAGCCTAGCAGTATCTGAAGGGAGTCTGTCACTCATTTAAATGACATCTTGGAATGTCTAAATTCATCAGCCATTGATGGAGGAGAGGGTATTACCACTTCATCTGGTGAGTACTGGTTAAAAGATAGGCAACAAAGGGCAGGAATAAATGGTCAGTTTTCAGAATGGAGAGAGGTAAATAGTGGTGTCCCCAGGGGTCTGTACTGGGACCAGTACTATTCAACATATTCATAAATGATCTGGAAAAAGGGGTAAACAGTGAGGTGGCAAAATTTGCCAATGATACAAAACTACTCAAGATAGTTAAGTCCAAAGCAGACCGCAAAGACTTACAAAAGGATCTCACAAAACTGGGTGACTGGGCAACAAAATGGCAGATGAAATTCAGTGTTGATAAATGCAAAGTAATGCACATTGGAAAACATAATCCCAACTATACATATAAAATGATGGGGTCTAAATTAGCTGTAACCACTCAAGAAAGAGATTTTTGCATCATTGTGGATAGGTCTCTGAAAACATCCACTCAATGTGCAGCAGCAGTCAAAAAAGTGAACAGAATGTTGGTAATCATTAAGAAAGGGATTGATAATAAGACAGAAAATATCACATTGTCGCTACACAAATCCATGGTACGCCCACATCTTGAATATTGCAGATGTGGTTGTGGTTGCCCTATCTCAAAAAAGATATATTGGAATTGGAAAAGATTCAGAAAAAGGACAACAAAAATAATTAGGATTATGGGACAGCTTCCATGTGAGAAGAGATTAATAAAACTGGGACTTTTCAGCTTGGAAAAAAGAAGACTAAAGGGGGATATGATAGAGATCTATAAAACCCTGACTGGCATGGAGAAAATAAATAAGGAAGTGTTATTTACTCTTCTCATTATACAAGAACTAGACATCACTAAATGAAATTAATAAGCAGCAGGTTCAAAATAAACAAAAGGAAATATTTCTTCACACAATGCACAGTCAACCTGTGGAACTCCTTGCCAGAGAATGTTGTGAAGGCCAAGACTATAACAGTGTTCAAAAAAGAACTAAATAAGTTCATGGATGATATGTCCATCAATGGCTATTAGCCAGGATGGACAGGGATGACGTCCCTAACCTCTGTTTGCCAGAAGCTGGGAATGGGTGACAGGGGATGGATCACTTGATGATTACGTGTTCTGTTCATTCCCTCTGGGGCACCTGGCATTGGCCACTGTTGGAAGACAGGATACTGGGCTAGATGGACCTTTGGTCTGACCCAGTATGGCCGTTCTTATGTACAAGGAAATGGTAGTTTGAGAGGTGGTCTCCTTATCTGTCCTAGCTTTGTGTTCCGTCTTTTCCTGCAAGGGAATGGTTTGAGGTGGTAAAGATTGTGTTTCCCTATCATCCCGGTGGGCTAGGTGCAGAGCCCCAGAAAATTTCTGTTTGCAGGCAGCCCAGGGATCCCAGTATGGCCATTGTGGGGCTCCATATGGGAGAGGAGGTGGCATCCAGGATTGTTCCCACCATCTGTGGTGACCTCCCCAGGCTTCCTCCTTGTCTCTATGACTAACATAGAATGGGTTCCTATAAAGGTGGGTGGAAGAGCCCTACACTGAAATATGAGAGGCTGAATGGACTCATTGGAGGTCCCCTTCATCTTCCATTGAACTCTGAGGAGGAAGAGCCCCAGCTGAAAACAGTGCAAGGAGTCAGGCAGTACTGGTGACATATGAATGTCCGGTGACCGAGTGGGTCTCGGTGCCAAGAGGCATTTGGTGCCCATGATCAGCAGCGATTCCTGTTCCTCTGCTACAGTCAAGTCCTTCAAGTACCTAACTTCTTGAGGTACTGAATAAAGCATTGGTACCAATGTGATGATCTCTCTCAAAGTGGACAGTACCAAAGGTTTGGATTGCTCCAACAAGGGCACAGACAGAGGCAGATGCTTCGACTTACAGCATACCAAGAGACCTGTCATGGGGCAGTACTGGAGGTAGGGTTGTGTCCAGTTATACCGGCTGGAGGAATGTCTCTCCTTGCCATCTCTGACATGCCCAGATGGTACTAAAGCTTGCTTGGAGCTGAGTTTGTTCTTAGAAGAGCTATGGGGTTTCCTGGCTCCACTGGTACCGCCAGGGTAGCCTGTAGCCTGAATGGTACAGGGCAGAGAGGTCAACAATTCTGAGACCATTGACCCAGTGGGAGATCGATGTCTTTTAGGAAGAGACTCCCTGCAAGGTGAGTTGGAGTTCCTCTTCCTGGGGCTTCTGGAGGTCTCAGAAACCTTCCCTTTTCTGGGGGAGTGATGAACTGAGGTTGACAGGGCACTGGATGTGTATGGAGACTGATGTACTGGAGGGGAAGTCTCCTGACCTGCCTCTGATGCAGATAAAAGAGAACACGCCATCATAAGCCTCAGCTTGATCTTCCAGTTCTTCCTCACCCTGCATTTAAGGGCTAAACAGAAGTTACGCTCCAGTGAGATGTGCGAGTCTTCCAGGCAGCGAACACACTTGGAGTGGTCATTGCTAGCCGGGATGGCCTCCCAGCAAGTGAGGCATCATTTAAAAGAGCTGAGCATATCCTTCCCAGGAAAGCAAACCTTCCGAAAGGAAGGAGGAAAAAAAATGTAAAACTAAACTAAACAGCTATACTAAGCTAAACTAACAATAAAATTTTAATAGATGAGGCATACTCAAGGTGGACACACTAGAGCTCCATCTCAGGCTGAGGCTGATGAAAAGGAACTAAGCGTGATTCACCCGTCCAGTCGGATGTAGCCTCAGTGCGGGGCACGAGGCTGTGTAGGGTGCATGCACAAGTCAAATGGACACTGCCAGCAGAAATCTCCAATTGAAAACACATGCTGTAGCGGGGTGGTCACCCCGCTCCTGCCTGGAGGGGTTAAAAGCAGCCCTGGAGAGGGCTGTGGCTGGGGAAAGGCTGACTGGGGAAGCAGCCACAGCTGAGGCCACAGTCCAATCAGACCACAGCTGGCCCTATAAAAGAGCTGTGAGCCAGGAACTCTAAACACACTCTCTCTCTAGCTCCTTAGAGAGAGAAGGACCTGGCTGCCTGGGAAGCTAAGGAGGGTACCTTGGGTGGAGCAGTGCTGGGGAAGGGCAGAAGGAGCTGGGGAGCTCCAGCCTAGCTAAGTCCCAGACTGCAGGCCAAGTTAAGGGTCCACAAGGGTACTAGGGCTGCAGAGGGGCAGCCCAGGAATAGGCAGAGGCAGCTGGTCCAACCCCCCCTTGCCGATGATGAGTGGTTTATAGACTGCAGTCTGCCCCAGGGAGTGGGGGCTAGATGAAGACTGGTAGTAGCCACTGAGGCAAGGTGGGGGATAGGGGGTTGGGGGCTCCCCTGGGAGGGCAGACCCAGAGATGGAGGGGTTAGTGCTGGGGGCAGAACCCTGGTATACAAAGGCACCGGGGTCCGGGGAGGGATACGGGGGCCAGCGGCAGGTGAGACACTGGCTTGCAGAGGGCACTCTGGGCTGGAAGAGCTAATTCCCAAGACAACCAGCAGGAGGCGCCGCACCAGTGCGTCGTCACCCTGCCACACATGCACATGTGAAGCGGAGCACCCATAAGAGGGACACTACTCAAAGAAGAAAGAAGACCTCTTACATACACATTCCTTCTTTGCACGCCTTAACAAAGCTAGATGTAATCCAGCATTTACAGTAAACTGGAGGGAATTTTGCTTAGATCTTCACATAGGTTTTGGGAGATGGGGGTATTTTCATAATTTTTACATCCTCAGTTATATGCTGTTATATATTTGGGAGCTTGAAAATTACTAAATTTCTGAATCAATTCATTATTTGTATTTATTTTTAAACACTTTACCTTGAATTCCATTCAATCTTCCTTTTTTGGTTGAGATTATTAAAAGCAGGAGTTATTCTTGTTGATGCCCAAGAACTTAGAACATGGAACAGAAGCTGAAATATGGTAAAACTGGTAACAGCAGTGCCAATAATCAGTTTGTTGAAGGTAGCCATTATTCTTCAGCCTGTTAATTGGAATGGCAGAATTACTGTCTCAGTGCAGACATAGTTTAATCAATTTTGTTTAAGTAGCTGCAAAAAGAATTTTAAGCCTCCAAGATAGTAATTTAAGTAGAAACAAAAATAAAATGTAGTGCTACACAGAACACAATAATCTTCAGATGTAACACAGTGATATATTAAGTAGCCATTTGAGTTGCCCTATTAAATAGTGAATGTGTTCAGTCTGTACCTGAGGCGAGGGAAGGAGAGGTGGGGAAGAAGCGCAAACAATTTTTTGGACATTCCTAGATATTTTCTAGACCAGGGGTGGGCAAACTATGGCCCGGGGGCTCATCTGGCCCTTCAGACGTTTTAATCCGGCCCTCGAGCTCCCGCCGGGGAGCAGGGTCCAGGGCTTGCCCCACTCCGACGTTCCAGTCAGGGAGTGGGGTCAGGGGCTTGCCCCGCTCTGCATGTGCTGTGGCTTCTGGAAGCAGCAGCATGTCCCCCCGCCCCCTGGCTCTGGCTCCTATACATAGGGGCAACCAGGGGGCTCCACACACTGCCCTGCCCCAAGTACTGCCTCCATAGCTCCCGTTGGCCGGGAACTGCAGCCAATGGGAGCTGTCTGGCTGCGCCTCCGCGTAGGAGCTGGAGGGGGGACATGCCACTGCTTCCAGGAGCTGCTTGAGGTAAGCGCCAACCAGAGCCTGACCCCCTCCTGTGCCCCAACCCCCTGCACCAGCCCTGATACCCCTCCCGCCCTCCGAACCCCTTGGTCCCAGCCCGGAGCACCCTCCTGCACTCCCAACCCCACCCCAGAGCCCGCACCCCCAGCTGGAGCTACACCCCAACCCCCAGCCCAGAGCCCCCTCCCGCAGCTTGAACTCCTCATTTCTGGCTCCACGCCAGAGCCCACACCCCCAGCTAGAGCCCTCTCCCCCTCCTGCACCCCACCCCCCAATTTCATGCGCATTCATGGCTCGCCATACAATTTCCATACCCAGAGGTGGTGCTCAGGCCAAAAAGTTTGCCCACCCCTGTTCTAGACAGACATAGCTGACAAAGGCTCCAGTTGTGGAACTAGGAGTCCGGTGGCACCTTAAAGAGTAACAAATTTATTTGGGCATAAAAGCTTTTGTGGGTAAAAAACCTCACTTCTTCAGATGCATCTGAAAGCTTATGCCCAAATAAATCTGTTAGTCTTTAAGGTGCCACCGGACTCCTTGTTGTTTTTGTGGATACAGACTAACACGGCTACCCCCTGATACTTGAGTTATGGAACTATTATTTCAGACTTATGGAAAGAATTTCAGCACCATTCTCAGGGATTTAACCATTTGACTTCAACAGAAGTTAGAGGGATTTGCAAAACTAAATTCCCATACACCATATAGAAGAGAGAGAAAAAAACCAGTTATCCCCAACTAGAGCTTCCATACTGAACTCCATTTACATTCCTGTATCCCAAAAATAATCCAACCCTTTCACAAGAGAAGCTAAACAAAAGAAAGACAGGATAACTCATAGCCCTGGTCTACACTGGGAGGAGGGCTGGGGGTTGACCTAAGATACACAACTTCAGCTACGCGAATAGCGTAGCTGAAGTTGGCGTATCTTAGGTCGACTTACCTGGCCGTGAGGACGGCGGCAAGTCGACCGCCGCCACTCCCCTGTCGACTCCACTTCCACCTCTTGCGAGCTGGAGTTCCGGAGTCAACGGGGAGCGCGTTCGGGGATCGATTTAGCCGCGTCTAGATGAGACGCGATAAATTGATCCCCGATAGCTCAATCTCTACCCACCAATCCAGCAGGTAGTGAAGACCTGCCCGTAGTAATTAAAAGATTTAAATACTTTCAAAGGCAATATTCTTAAACTGTCTTAAGAGACCAGCATATAGAAATAGCTTTTAAGTGTATTTTAAAGACCTTAAATCTAATTAAAGCACTGCTGCTTAACCAAGACTTTGACTAATATTTCACACATGGTAATAACTGTCTAATAGTCAGCATCTTTCTCCAGAATGTCCTAGAAGTAGAGTCTTTCTATATAAAAAAAAGGGCAGGAAATGCCCATACCACCTTCCCTCTGTTCCCCTGGAGCTGGCAATAGCCAATGGGAATTATTTGCTTACACTCCATCTGCAGTCAGTGTGTTAGGTATACGTACACTAACTGGTGGAAGCAGTAGTTGGGCCTGTTTAGTAAATCTGTGGAATACTTTGAGGTGTGTGACAGAGCTGTGATCATGTATGAAGAGATCTGTATCTTGCTCCTTCATGTGAAAACAGGGATGCATGTATACCTTCAGTATGAATAATTTCTATGCAGAATTGTGTAGGTTATGTCAGTAGCAGAGCATAGGGCTTTTACTACAAGAGATATTGTCAGCAGTGAGGTGGAATATGAGAGGATTCTTATGATGGTTAAGTAAAGTGTAGGTTGAGACAGTATCATGTGAGTATGTGTAAGAGAGGTATAAAAGGCTGTGAAGTGACTTCTAAATTGTACAGGTGTGGTATTCTTTCTGGGGAGTTGACCAAGTGTGTGAGCCTATGCCAGGATCTGGAACCTCCTGAATTTTATAGTGCCACCGGCCAGCATGAGGTATTGCTCAAAGAGAGTAGAGGGAAGGTGGCATAGAGAACTTTCAAACAGACAAGCAAACAACAAACTTTTAATAGTGTTAAATGGAATCCTGCGGGTGAGAGTGAATGGGTTGTAAAAAGAGAGGAAGAGTTTGTACATTTCAGCAACTGAGGGGTTGACAGAATAAAGATATTATTATTAACGTGGTGTCTTGGGACACTGCTAAAAGACAACAGAGTTAAGGTTGCCTGGGCACTTTAACTGTACATTTCATGTTTTTCAGAAATTTGAATTTTGCTCAACTCAGCATTCTGCAAGGAGACGACATACCACCAAGCAATCTTCACTCTGCATTAACGTAGTTTTTTGCCAATGAATTTTAGCTTTTTTGAACAGGCAAAGATAAGTTGTTGGTAGGAGTCAGTAGTCATTTAGGCAGTTGTACATATCAAGTCCCACAATTTGCATACCAAGCCAGCAAGGCCTACGCACCTCATCCACCAAGGCCAAACCAGCCCTGCTTTGACACACATCCACAACCACACTCCTGACCCATTCACTGCATTCCCCCCTCCAACCTGGCCCGCTTCCCATTACTGTGCCCTGGCCCTCACCAACGAGCAGGGAACACATCCCACCGAAGTCTTCACTCCTTGGTATCCAAACATTTCTATTGCTGTTACTTCCCTCCTCCAACCTCTATCCCCAATAACATGACTCACATGGAGTACTGGAGTGAAGGATAACTATGTTATAGTGGACTGGTATTCCGGGTCATGTTTCAGAATGATTGGAAGGTGGAGTGTGTGGCCGTGCCAGCAAGAGATAGGGTTTCCGTTCCAAAATACGGACAATATTATGTCTCAGAAAAAGATCCTCTGATCCCTGTCCAACAGATGTACCTCATCTCCAAGAAACAGTGAGGCAAGAGAGCTTGTAATGTTTCTATGGCAAACAGTACACATTTTCCAGTCATCCATGAACCCTCCAATTTCCCAATTAGTGTTCTTCCAATACTTAGTACTAGCTTTCACATTGCCCCTGTAGTCATTATTCAGATGCTCAGACAGATCAGAGAAAACTTTCACAGCTCTCGGACATAAATCTCTGATGTGGTCCAAATCTCCTTTCATACATTGTCCAAGGTGTACACCAGGAATAAGGCCCAGATCATTTCCATCCAAGTGAATCACCACAATGTCCGATAGATCACAATCTCTTCATCACCAGTTAGATGCTGTAGAGTGGGCAAAACTTGATGCCAACACTAGCCAGCTCTCTCCACCCAAATCAGCCTGTAGTCAGCAATCCCCTGTTATGGTGTACTCCTTGCTCTCATGCAAACTTCTGCAACATCATGATTCAGGAATCACCCAGAATCAACATAGTGGCAACCCTGGCAGCACACACATTTATTCCCCCTCAGAAGTCCAGGTGCCTGGGCTTCAGTTCCAAACTTCCATACTATGTGTCTTGGAAAAAAAACACATACATCTGCCCCAAGATCAGAAAGTAGCCAATTGTTGCCCCTGCCTCTCCCTTCCCCCAGGGGCTAGTAAAATACAGGTTTTCCCAAACAACCAATTCAAGGCTTGCCTACCACCCATCCTCATTTCCTGCCCCCCTCCACAGCCGCAACTCCTCTCCCTGTCCCCATTCTCTTGACTATCATACACAGAGTCTTCTGTCTCTGGCTTTTCCCCACCTAATATAACAAAAATTTTGGTTAGACTATTCTGCTGTCTTCACAGTAAACCTCCCCACAAAATAAAAACACATTATATTATCACAGACAACTTGCAGCAAGCCACATGAGTTGTTAAGCCTTTATTGCACAGCTGTACAAAGGCTTGAACTAGAAACATCAGTGCCAGGTTGTTCACCAGCAGGCAATTGCATTGGCACATTCCTTTTTACTTCCAAGGCAAGCATGAAGTGACTGTGTAGAAACCCTCTCATTTTTTTTTCTTTACTGGAGCATTTGCACTGTAATCCTTCCTGACTGTACATCTGTGCAAGTGAAGAAGTGAAAAATTTCTTTAAAATGATTCACAGGTGGATCCCCCAGAGACTTAGGCCTGGTCTACACTAGGCTTTTATGTCGACTTTAGCGCCGTTATA